GTAGGCCCTACAGAAATGGTTTGTTTACAATGTAGGCCCTACAGAAATGTTTGTTTACAAACAAATACCCACATTTCCTTGACGAAGGTGGCCTCGGGGTTGGGGAAGATGTTGCCCTCGTTCCTGCCCAGGGCGCTGCCGGGGCAGAAGAAGTTGATGCGCAGGTAGGTGTAGTCGCCCTCCACGGACATGCTGATGTTCTGGGGGGAGAAAAATACCAAAAATTGGGGATTTCGGCCCAAAAAGGAGGGAGGGCAGACAAAAAGGAGGGAGGGCAGCAAAAAAATGAAGGATTTATGGCCAAAAATGAAGGATTTATGAGCAAAAATGAGGGATTTCAGCCCAAAAAGGAGGGATTTCAACCCAAAAATGAACAATTTACACCCCAAAATGAAGGATTTCCACCCAAAAAGGAGGGATTTCTGCCCTAAAATGAAGGATTTATGACCAAAACCAGAGGATTTCCACCCAAAACCAAAGGATTTCCACCCAAAAAGGAGGGATTTCAGCCCAAAAAGGAGGGAGTGTAGCACAAAAACGAAAGATTTCCACCCAAAACCGAAAGATTTCCACCCAAAACCAAAGGATTCCTGGCCAAAAATGAAGGATTTGCGGCCAAAAATGAAGGATTTATGACCAAAACCAAAGGATTTCCACCCAAAAATAAAGGATTTCTGACTAAAAATGAGGGATTTCTGACCTAAAATGAAGGATTTCTGCCCAAAAATGAAGGATTTTAGCCCAAAAAGGAGGGATTGCAGCACAAAAAGGAGGGATTTCAGGGTGGGGATTTTGGGGTGAATCCCAAGGATTTTGGGGTGAATGACGGGGATTTTGGGGTGGATTTTGGGGTGAATGATGGGGATTTCGGGGCAGGAATTTTGAGGTGAATCCGGGGCATTTTTGGGGTGAAATCCCAGGATTTCAGTCCCTTTTTCACCTTGATGGTGGCGATGTGGAAGGGCAGGGACATTACAACAGATTTTAGGGTAAATTATGGGGATTTTGGGGTGGATTTTGGGCTCAATCTCAGGGAATTTTAGGGTGGATTTTGGAGCAAACAATGGGAATTTTGGGGTGGGGATTTTTTGGGTTGAATCCTGGCGATTTCAGTCCTCTTTTTTACCTTGCTGGTGGCGATGTGGAAGGGCAGGAATTCTGGGGTGGATTTTAGGATGAATGATGGGGATTTTGGGGCAAATCCCAGGAATTTCGGGGTGGCGATTTTTGGGGCGAATAACGTGGATTTTGGGTCCCTTTTTTACCTGGATGGTGGCGATGTGGAAGGGCGGGGATTCTGGGGTGGATTTTGAGGTGAATGACAGGAATTTTGGGGTGGATTTTGGGCTCAATCTCAGGGATTTTAGGGTGGATTTTAGGGCGAATCGCAGGAATTTTGAGGTGGGGATTTTTGGGGTGAAACCTGGCGATTTTGGGGCTCCTTCTCACCTCGATGGTGGCGATGTGGAAGGGTGGAGATATTTGGGTGAATGATGAGGATTTTGGGGTGAGTGATGAGGATTTTAGGGTGAATTTTGGGGCAAATCCCAGGAAATTCGGGGCGGTGATTTTTGGGTCGAAATCCAGTGATTTCAGTCCCTTTTTTACCTTGATGGTGGCGATGTGGAAGGGCAGGAATTCTGGGGTGGGTTTTGGGGTGAATGACAGGAATTTTGGGGTGGATTTTGGGGTGAATGACGGGGATTTTGGGGTGGATTTTGGGCTCAATCTCAGGCATTTTAGAGCGAATTTTGGGGCAAATCCCAGGAATTTCGGGGTGGCGATTTTTGGGGTGAATAATGCGGATTTTGGGGCTCCCCCTCACCTTGATGGTGGTGATGTGGAAGGGCGGGGATTTTGGGGTGAATCCCAGGGGTTTTGGAGTGGATTTTGGGCTCAATCTCAGGGATTTCAGGATGGATTTTGGGGCAAATCCCGGGAATTTCGGGGCGGGGATTTTTGGGTCAAATCCCGGCGATTTCGGTGCCTTATTTTACCTTGATGGTGGCGATGTGGAAGGGTGGGCATTTTGGAGTGGATGACGAGGATTTTGAGGTGGATTTTGGGCTCCATCTCAGGGATTTCAGGATGGATTTTGGGGCAAATCCCGGGAATTTTGGGGCGGCGATTTTTGGGTCGAATCCCGGCGATTTCGGTGCCTTTTTTTTACCTTGATGGTGGCGATGTGGAAGGGCAGGAATTCTGGGGTGGATTTTGGGCTCAATCTCAGAGATTCTGGGGTGGATTTTGGGCTCAATCTCAGGGGTTTCAGGATGGATTTTGGGGCAAATCCCAGGGATTTCGGGGCGGCGATTTTTGGGTCGAATCCCGGCGATTTCGGTGCCTTTTTTTTACCTTGATGGTGGCGATGTGGAAGGGCGTGGCGATGCCGAAGACGGGCATGATGACGCTCTCGTACTTCTTGTCGATGTAGATCTTCATCTCGCGCACGTGCGGCTCCTTGGGCAGCAGCGCCGCGCTCTTGTACGACACGTTCGACTTCCGCGCCCTGAAAAACATCATTTTTGGGGTGAAATCTGCTGGTTTTGGGGTAGAGGAGGGTGAGGGGGGTGTTGTTGGGGTTACTTTTGGGTCTGCTGCTCGCCGCGCTGCTCGGTGAGGCGGCGCCGGGCGTCCTCGTTGAGTTGGGTGGCCAACTCCTTCTGGTGGGCGCGGCGCTTCTCCTCCGCCGTCAGCTCGTTCTGGGGGGAAATCGGGGGGTTTTGGGGTCACTCTCGAGTTTGGGGTGGGTCAGGGGGGGTTTGCAGGCAAAAAGGAGGGATTTGAGCAAAAAAAGGAGGAATTTGAGCCCAAAAATGAAGGATTTCTGCTCAAAAAACTAAGGATTTCCGCCGAAAAATGAAGGATTTCCGGACAAAAACGAAGAACTTCTGGCCAAAAATGAAGGATTTCCACCCAAAAACGAACGATTTACACCCAAAAAATGAAGGATTTCAGCCCAAAAAGGAGGGATTGCAGCCCAAAAATGAAGGATTTCTGACCAAAAATGAAGGATTTCCACCCAAAAAGGAGAGAGTTCAGCCCAAAAAGGAGGGATTTGAGCCCAAAAAGGAGCGATTTGAACACAAAAACGAGGAATTTGGGCCCAGAAAAAGGGATTTGAGACCAAAAAGGAAGGATTGTAGCCCAAAAATGAGGGATTTCTGCCCAAAAATGAGGGATGGGGGGGGATTCCGGGGATTTTTGGGGTCACCCCAAATGTGGGATCCACCCTCTGGGTTTGGGGTGGGTCAGAGGGGTTTTGGGGTGGTTTTGGGGTGTTTTTGGGTGTGTTTGGGGTGGTTTAGGTGTGGTTTTTGGGTGTTTTTCAGGTTCCCAGGGCTTTTCTTGGGTGTTTTTGGGGTGGTTTTGGGGGGGTTTTGGGGTTCCCAGGGCTCGTTTTGGGCGTTTTTGGGGCATTTTTGGGGTGGGTTTTGGGTGTTTTTGGGGTGGTTTTGGGTTGTTTTGGGGGGTTTTTGGGGTTCCCAGGGCTCTTTTTAGGTGTTTTTGGGGCATTTTTGGGGTGGGTTTTGGGTGGTTTTGAGGTGTTTTTTGGGTTCCCAGGGTTCTTCTGGGGGGTTTTTGGGTGTTTTTAGGGGGGGTTGGGGGTTTTTTCGGGTTCCCAGGGTTCTTTTCGGGTGTTTTTGGAGTGGTTTTGGGTGCATTTGGCACGGTTTTGGGGGTGTTTCTGGGGTGTTTTTGGGGTGGTTTTGGGGGGTTTTTTGGGTTCCCAGGGCTCTTTTTGGGCATTTTTGGGGTGGTTTTGGGGGTGGTTTTGGGGGTGGTTTTGGGGATTTTTGGGGTTCCCAGGGCTGTTTTTGGGGTGATTTTTGCATGTTCTTAGTGGGTTTTTGGGGTGGTTTTGGGTTGGTTTTGGGTTTTTTTTGGGTTCCCAGAGCTCTTTTCGGGTGTTTTTGGGGTGGTTTTTGGGGTGTTTTTGGGGTGTTCTGGGGGGTTTTTTGGGTTCCCAGGGCTCTTTTTGGGTGGTTTTGGGGAGGTTTTGTAGGTTTTTGAAGTCCCCAAGGCTGGTTTTGGGGTGTTTTTTTTGAGTGGTTTTTGGGCAGATTTTTTTGGTTTTTTGGGGTTGTTTTTCTGGGGGTTTTTGAGGTATTTTTGGGGGTGTTTTTGGAGGAATCTTTGGGGTTTTTTTGGGGTGTTTTTGGGGGTGTTTTTGGGGTGGGTTTGGGGGATTTTTGGGGTGGTTTTTGGTGTTCTCACCCGGGTTCTCTCGGTGAGCAGAGCGGCGCGGGAGCTCCGGCCCAGCAGGTCCTCGGCCGCGTCCTTGTCGGGCTCCTCCTCGTCCTCATCCTCGTTCTGGGGGAAAAAATTGGGGTGAGAAACCTCAAAACTGGGGGAAAATGGGATGGGAGGGGGGTGGGAAAGGGGAGACTGGAAGGGGAAGGCAAAGGGAGGTAAAAACCCTGAGGATGAGGTAAAAACCTCAAAAATTAAGGAAGAAAAACCCAAAACTGAGGTAAAAACCCTAAACCGAGGTAAAACCCTCACAAATTAAGGAAGAAAAACCCAAACTGAGCTAAAAACCCCCAAAGATGTTGCGAAAAACCCAAATCTGAGGTAAAACCCCTCAGAACTGACATAAAAAAAAAACCCCAAATCTGAGATTAAAAAAACCCCAAGCCTGAGGTAAAAAACTCCTCAAATCTGAGGTAAAAAAAATCAAACCAAAACTGAGGTAGAAAACCCCCCCAAATCTGAGGTAAAAAATCCCCCAGAACTGAGGTAAAAAATCCCCCAAATCTGAGGTAAAAACCCTCCTAAATCTGAGGTAAAAACCCATGAAATCTGAAGTTAAAAAATCCTCCAAAAAAACCCATAAAAAACTCCTCAAACCTTAGATAAAAAACCCCCCAAACCTGAGGTAAAAAAATCTCCAAAACTGAGGCAAACCTCCCCCCCAAACCTGTGGTAAAAAACCCCTAAATCTGAAGTAAAAAAAAACCCCAAACCTGATGAAAAAAAATCCCCAATCTGAAGTAAAATATCCCCCAAAATCTGAAGTAAAAAAATCCCTCAAAATTGAGATAAAAAACCCCCAGAACCGACATTAAAAAAAAAACAAATCTGAGGCAAAAAAAACCCCAAATCTGAGGTAAAGATCTCCCCAAACCTGAGGTAAAACCCCCCCAAAAATGACGTAAAAAAAACCCAAATCTGAGATAAAAAACTCCCCAAATCTGAGGTAAAAAACCCCCCAAACCTGAAGTAAAAAAAAAACCCAAATCTGAGGTAAAAAATCCCCCAAAACTGAGATAAAAAACCCCCAAACCTGAGATAAAAACTCCTCCAAATCTGAGGTAAAAAGCCCCCAAACCTGAGGCAAAAAAACCCCAAATCTGATGTAAAAAAACCCCCAAACCTGAGGCAAAAAAACCCCCCCAGACATTCCTAACCCCCCCCTCCCCAAATGCTCCCAAATCCCCCCAAAACCGGGGCAAAACCACCCAAAAATTCACGTGGAACTCCCCCAAAGTGCATTTTCCCCGATCTGACCCCAAATTGCCCCAAATTTGTCCCTTTTTTGCTGACCTTGAGGAAGATGCCGACGTTCTTCACCTTCTTCTTCACGGCCGTCAGCACCGTGGCGGGGCCGTCCTGCAGGGGGCAGTGAGGAGCACACACCAGTTGGGACTGGGAGCCACTGGTTTGGACTGGGGGGCACTGGGGGGCACTGGGAGTGACTGGTTTGTACTGGGGGGCACGGGGGGGTCACTGGTTTGGACTGGGGGGGCACTGGGGGGTCACTGG